CCAGAAAAAAAATCTCTGTATTCAAGAGACAAGACTGAAAACCAATACTGGCTGGCCGTGATTGTCCAGCCCTCAGGCAGCACTGTATTAAAAACAGGCATGATTCTGTAGTGGAAATCACTGCATGGGCTCAGGAACACTTCCAAAAAACAGTGTCTGCATCCACAAATACCTGTTAAAACTCTAACATGCAAAGAACAAACCATATATAAACAGGATCTAGAAACACCGCCGCTTTCTCTGGGCCTGATCTCATTCAAGATGGACTGAGATGAAGTGAAAAAGTGTACTGTGGTCCAATGAATCATTATTTGAAATTCTTTTTGGAAATCATGGAGAGGGACCATCTGGCTAGTTATCAGCTTACAGTTCAAAATTTACCCCTATGGTATGTGGGTGCATTAGTGCACACGGCATGGGTGACTTGCACATCTGAGAAGGCACCTTTAATGCTGAATAATATATACAGGATTTGATGCATAATATGGTGCCATCCAGATGACATCCTTTTAAGCAAAACTATGTCAAACCACATTCTGCACGTATTGCAGCAGCATGGCTCTGTAGTAAAAGAGTCCGGGTGCTAATCTGGCCTACCTGCAGTCCAGATCTGTCATTCATTGAAAACATTTGCCGCATTATGACCCTGAACTGCAGTGCAGCTGAATTCCTTTATCAAGCAAAAATGGGAAAACATTTCACTTTCAAAACTACAGCAGTGTCTCCTCAGTTCCCAAACGCTTACAGAGTGTTGTTTAAAGAAGAGGTGATGAAACACATGAAATATGACCCCATCCCAACTTTTTTTGAGACGTGTTGGCATCAAATTTAAAATAGCCATATATTTTTCAAAAAACAATAAAATTTGTCAGTTTGAACATTTGATTTGTTGTCTTTGTACTATTTTCAATTAAATATGGAGTTTAAATGATTTATACATCATTGCAATCTGTTTTATTTACATTTTGCACAGCATCCCAACTTTTTTGGAAATGGTGGCAGAACAGAATAGAATTGGATAGAACAAACCTGTGTTACATCTCAACAGCAAAGAACTTACTTGCAAGTGGATAATGGAGGTAGCGCTGCACTGATACACTGTTAAAAAAGAAGGTTCTTCAAGGGTTCTTTAGTAAAGAAAAATTGTTCTATATAAAACCAAGAACCCCAAGTGTTCAATATAGCATACAATATATACGTATATTACACACACACACACACACACACATACATATATATATATATATATATATATATATATATATATATATATATATATATATATATATGTGTGTGTGTGTAATTCTCTCTGAGAATTGCAGGAGGAACAAATGACCCGACAGTATAAAGCAGCTCACCAGTCTATATTACTACTTGTATCAAAACCTTAACACCTTTTAAATTGAACAACACATCTCAAATAAAACAGACAGCTATCAAAGTCTTTCTAGCTTCAGCTCCGCCTTGTATTAGTTTTCTCTTTCTTGCTTTACACAGAATCCATACCTAACACACAAGATCAAATACACTGATCGAAGAAAATGAGTTTAATCCATTTTTAATTGGAACGTAACACACTTTTGTCTCATGATCCCCAGAGTACCTATTAGCAGTGCTTTACACTGTTACAGCTCAGGCTCCTGTCATTCTGCAGTGTAGCCTCTCAGAGACACAACCTCTGACCCCATCATAATGCAGACTCAAACTGGGGTCTGATGAGTCAGCTCCTCTGGGGGAGCGCTCTGTCAGAAAAAGAGAGAGAGAGGGAGAGGGAGAGAGAGAGAGAGAGAACCCTGCAGAACTGACTGACACATTCTGCTTAAATGAAGGTGCCCAGCTCTTCAGCCTGGAAGGCCATATGTGGAATATGTCATCATTGATGGTTTGACCAAACATTTATCCAATTTATTTTTCAGACTATGACTTTCTGTCTCACGGAGAGGCCATTCCTGCTTTAGAAGCACCAGCTTTCCAGTCCTGAGGGGCTACTGACCTGTTTACTTCCAGTGTTTTCTCCACTGTAATATATCTCAGTCAGCTTATCGAGTCATTCATCCACTAAATCAGAAACACAGAACCTAACACTTCTTAACTCAAGCCATCCTCTGCTCAATTCACTGACTGCCCAAGTCCTTTTACGGGAGAGTTTTATGTAGTCAAACAAGTTTGACTAGAGTGTGCTTTTGGTCATCATCTCAGATTTCCATAGTAACATCATCTGTGAATTTTCACAGGCATTTTTCCAGACAGGCTATGAAAACTTATTGTATACATTTAAAGTAATTCACTGCTGTTGGAACAAAACCTTGTATCTCCATTTCTGTCATTTTTGACATAATTCACATAAAATGCCTGTTGTCCTTTACATCGTGTGTAAATTTCCTGATGAATGGACTAAAAGAAATGACCCAAAATGACTTGGTAAAAAGTGCGGTTCCATTGACTTACATTAAAAGTATATTTTTCCTTCTTCTGTAAAATGACCACTTTGGAGATACAAGGTTTTGTTTTGACAGCAGCAAAATATTTTAGAGCTTGTCTGTAGTGACCTAATCGTGTTTGAATTATCTTACCAGACTTCTATAGCAAACGTTACAACTTGTTAGTCGGAGCATTTGCACTCACTTCACTTGAGGCTGAATTGCTCATAAACTGTAGGTGCTGGAAACAAAGTTTATGTTTTGTTTTGTAGCAGAGATGTGTAGGATGCTTGTACAAAACAATGATTAATATAGCTAAAAAAAAAAAAGTTGTTGTTTCATCTACTGTATAAATTAGCAGGGGGGCTGTCCAGTGGTCTTAAACACCCACCCACTAATTTTATCAACAACTTTTTCCGTCAGAAAACAGAAAAGCTTGTTTACTTTCAATCGGTGCGTTTGTTCTATGTTGGTTGACTGGCTGCCAAACCAATCACAAGTGGTGACTGAAGTGGTTTTAAATCTTGCTTGCTGTGAGTTGCATTATAGGATTATCCACCCACAAACACCAAAAAATGATTTATATTTTGCAATATTATTCATGCAATATTATGCAGTCTAGGCACCAAAATGACAACGGCCAACTTTTAGTCCTATTGCAGCAGCAGTAGCCCTAGAAGGGTCATGTAGGCTAGGCTAGTGATAGCCACAGCTTGCTAGCTTATGCCCACCTCTAATGCTGCCCAATAAAATCCTTTTCTAGGAGAAACACTGCTTAAGTCCCACTCTCAACAAAAACATATTTGCATATTATAGTAACCATCTACTGATTTCAGTCAAACCTTTCACATTAATCTTTGTCATTCACCTTAAAATGCTATGGAGTATTTTCCTGTACATGTATTCAGACACCAGTTTTGCAGGAAAAAAATAAATAAATACAAATGTTCCCATTATTTCAAAAGGAGTGGATCAGCCAAGATGTGTGGTGTCTGAAATTTGCTTCTTCGGGTTTATACTGGAGCTATGAGGCTACTGTGGCTAATAAATAATGGAAGCTCATATGCTATCAGTTAGCACTGTGCAAACTGCAGGCCTAACTTGGCTGCAACGCTCTCACAGCCCAATGTTCCTTCAGCTCTTTATATAATAGATCATCCCTCAATATGATACATTAAGGAAAACTCTGAAAGAGTTCATATGATCAGTGTAAGAGTCCTAGGGGTCACCAAAGGTCATACAGGGGAAAACATACATCGGACAATATTTTTGTGTTTGGCTAGGTTAGCCTACAAGAGCTAAGTAGCTAGTTAAGCAAACTGTTATGCAAACTTTGTTGGCGTAAATGTCAAATTATGTTCAAGTTTTGCAAAGTTGTCAATATAATGAAGTTCAAATAAAGTCGTGGGTTAAAACATTTCAATCCTGCCTGTCGCTGAATACATTCTGATTCTTCGTCACTGAAATGTACACCTAGTTTTAATAAATGAATATATTAGAAAGCAGCATGTCCATAAACACAGATATTATGTGTTTATTCAATGGAGTTCAGAAGTCTGAGACCACATTGAAAATCTGGCATTTTTATTATTTAAATCTGGAAAATGTAACAAAAAAAAAATACGACAATTAAAATGAAGAAATATTTAAAATTCTGCTCTATTTGTAGGACATTTTTCAAATAGAAGCAAATTTGTGAAATAAGGTTAAGGCCTTTGTACAAAACAATCTTTTTTTATTATTTTTCTTATTTCAGCCATTGAATCACCTGTTCAGACGACTCGTAGGTGGATTTGATCATCACAGACCTGTGGAGTTCACGCCAGCTTGAGCGGACGCTGTCATTAAAGTGAAAGTAGAACACACCACCAACTATGAAACTCCAAAATTAATGTAGACATTCAGAGATTCTGCTTTTCCCCTCAAAATGTTATGATCATATTATTGTGTAATAAAAAAAAAATATAAAAAAAAACAAAAGAACTTCGTATTAACTCAGAAAGAAATACAAAATGAAACCATTTCACCAGTAGTCTTCGATTTTTCGGCCCCACTGTATATTTTTACAAATAATATGAACATATCATATAAGAATATGTATGTTTGTAAACACATCAGACAGCTGCTTCTATTGTTCTAGCTATGCTAATGTACTTTGGTCCATGTTTATAGATAACAGTCTGGCAAGTTTTATAGAGATTACTGAACAACTAAACATGGTTTGAGGCAAGTTGGTGATGATTTAGACATGCAGTTTGCACAGTGCTATTTGGTACATAGCTTACATTACTTGTTAGCAACATTAGCTACGCAGCTCCATTTCAAATCTAAAGACTTTAGACACCAACATGTCTACGCTGATCGACTAGCACATTGATGGAATGAGGGCAATAATGTGCAAATTGGACTTTTCTATTGCTTTAAACCTGAGAATGAAGCAGCATTTCCAGCTAAGTAACTCCACAGAGACTGGAGATCAGCCCAGGTGCTAAAGATGTGTTGAGTAGGGTGGAAGTAGGAGGTGCATCACAGTCCAGCCCAGCAGAAGTGGAGACTGTTAGTGTTTTAGCTTTGACTCACCCCCTCGGCCTTCTCCTCTGTGTTGGCCAGCATCTCCTGCAGGGCACGGACGGACAGCGACTGCTCCAGCACGAACGTGCATATCGACAGGTCTGGAGGAACATTCTGGAAACACAGAGACACAATATTCAGCACCAGGTGCAGATGAGCTTCCCAAAAGCTTTGTAGAGCATAAACATCACTGACATGGCAGTATCTCCGGCCATCAATCATTTGGGGGTAATTTATTAAAAGATTTCAATAAATAAGTTGCTGATTTGCAAAAACTAAAGCATACTAGATAGAAAACTGTTCAGATCTTGAATTTTCTTTGCAAAAACTGTAAAACTTAAAGAAACAACTGACCAAAGGTCTTGGGAATAATGCCAAAGCACCTGTTTTATCCACTGGTTGTGATGTCAGCACTCAAACCTTTCAGGTGTTTAAACCACTTTGGGCCAAAAGAGTTTGACAATGTGCTTTTAACAATAGTTTGGTAAAGAAAATTGTCAAATCATTATTTAGATCAAAGCTGCTATTCATACCAGTAATGTGTGGCTAATTTGGAAGAAAATTGACAATGAAAATTAAACATTATTCCAAGAATTAAATTTAAAATGGTTCATTTGTCTCCAAACTTTTGACAGGCAGTGTAGTTAAAGACCGCTGACTCTGTAATGGCACCTGGTTAAAGAAGAATTCTGCCGATTTTTCAAAAGTTCTGCACAATTCAATCTCTGAAATGTATATAACGTCACTCAGAGTGGTTTGGTATGAATCGATTAATTGTAGAGAAACTTTCTTTACAGTGGTGGTGACAGGAACCAGGGGTTGCACCATCTGCAACACAAATACAGCCATTTTATGTACTATCCAAAGCCACCAGTGAACCTACACGTGTTTTTGAAAGGAATGTTGACGATGATAAAATAGCTTTAGATTTCTTCTGAGGCTTTTTTGCCTTACAAAGACCAGCATGTTCCTCACTGCCATGCATGAAAAGTATATTTCAGCCCAAAAACTTAATCTCAGAAGTATCATACAACGTCTTATCGCATAGGGCAGTGTATTCATAACCATTTACAACCATGTAATAACTTTCTGTGAGGGAGCTTTTAGAGGTATTAAACTCTTCAGACGTCTGGTTCCTATCACCACCACTGTGAACAATTCTGACTAAGTTTCAGTCAGATTTGAAGTTTCTCAACATCCCGTCGTTCATTTCTATGGGGGAAAAAAATAGTTGTCAAGCCCAATAATTACGTCTGTAAATGAAAGTTCGCTCTTTATTGCGTTATTATTATCAGGTTGAACCAAATAAAAGCTGAATTCTTCACCTGGTTTCACAGACAGCAACCTGAACAAGAAACAGATAAATGGGTAAATGAATAAAAGCAGAATCTTTTAGAGATGATTATTGATTCAGGTTTCCTGTGTAGTAGTAGTTCCTGCCTCATACAGAATTGAACAGCTCTATTAATATGAGGGCTTTCATTTTATTATAGCCAAAGGGTTCTTCTTAAATTCACGGCACAGTTTAGAGTTTTGTCCTGCTTATATATATATATATATATATTATATATATATATAGTATATATATATATATATATACACACACACAGTACATATATTAAAATTACGTACTATGATATTATAGTGGAGGTTTGTGAAGAAAGCAGTACATTTACCTTTGGGGGAGTAGAAATGTTAAGTCCCCCTCCTCAGTGAAAGGGGCAAAAATACCCCCTTAGGATTTTGTAGCAATTTTTTCAACTGTGAGTTTTTCAGCTCAACAGAATTACATCCACACATGGTCTGTTCTGTCAAACCCAAGATTATGAATATTAATAACATCAATAATAATAATAATAATAATAATAATAATATATAAACTACAGAATTAATGAACTTTGTAATGTTTATTTTTTTGCCAAAAAATAGCTTAAAAAATTAAAATGAAGTGGAATCATTAAGACATTAATTGGTTAAGGGGTGAATTTCATGTTCAATTTTCATTTTTAGAGCTGTATTTCACACTTTATTCACACAAACTTTGAAAAATGCACAGATTAGCAATTGTTTCAGATTCAAATTATGCATTATGTAAAACTCAGATGACAAATTTAAAGATTTTCGTGCTATAAAAACAAAATTAACTGCTGTTCTAGTTTATTTCCCCTTATTGTGAGCAGATTTATGCATATGGTTTAGCTTTATAGTAAATAGCCACTTCCTTAAAACAGTCCATCATGAATTCATCACGGATGTGATGTCACACCCATAAACACATACTGAGAAAATGCAGAATAAAGGTCATTTAAATGTTACCCATCATTAAATACAGCCTTCAAACTAGCCATATGCTTCATGTCACACTGAGTTCATCAAAAAACTGTATGTATGATTTGTGCATCATAGCTTGGCCTAAAAGCTCTGCTACAGAAATCAATCATTATTGATCTGTCCAGACCAAAATAATCAATCAGCATTATTGGCCTCTCTCATCCCCTGGTGAGGTACAAAGTGTGTGATTATGAACTCATTCTCTGCTAAAGCACACTGAGAAGGCCATTTACCCCTCTTCACTGGAGAATTAGAGAGGCAATCTGCTGTCAGCAGACTCAGGATGTCTGTTTGTTTGCTGTCGTTTATCACCAGGAAACAACATGTAAAATCTGTATGGAGTGTGTACTTATATTATGAGCAGTGACAATCCACATACTTTTAAAGGATCATGCATAATTCAGATAACCTTTACCTTTATTATGAGAGGAAAAACATACACCGATCAGGCAAAACATTCTGACCACCTCCTTGTTTCTACGCTCATTGTCCATTTTATCAGCTCCACTTACTATATAGGTGCACTTTGTAGTTCTACAGTTACAGACTGTAGTCCATCTGTTTCTCTGCATACTTTGTTAGCCCCCTTTTACCCTGTTCTTCAGTGGTCAGGACGCCCATGGACCCTCACAGAGCAGGTACTATTTGGGTGGTGGCAACTCTTTTTTTCCTCCCACTTCTGCACTCAATAATTAAAAATTACACAATCTAATGTCAACAACACTATACTTTGTTTATATCTATACATGTTTCTGTATTTTATGAATGTTTGCTGAAACCTCTACGAGGTTATACTAAGTATAAATGAGAAGACGTATGTAGAATAAATGTCAGTTGATGTTAGATTAGACAGTTAAAGTTGAGTTAAATTAGATGTGTTCAAAGTTGACATGAATTAGATTAGAGGGTTGGGGCAAAATAGATTAGACATGGTTAAAATTGAGATTAATTAGGTAATTCATGGTTAGAGTTAAGGCAAATTAGATTAGACATGCTTAACGCTGATGTGAGTTAGATTAGATGGTTACATGGTTAAAACTGAGGCGAGTTCGAATATATAGGGTCAAAAATAATTCAGACAAGTTTAAAGTTGATATGAGTTACATTAGACATATGTTGAGGTGAGTTAGATTAGATGTGGTTAAAGTTGAAGAGTTAGATGTGGTTAAAGATAATACGATTGAGATTAGACACGTTTAAAGCTGAAATGAGTTAGATTAGATGTGGTTAAAGTTGAAGAGTTAGATGTGGTTAAAGATAATACGATTGAGATTAGACACGTTTAAAGCTGAAATGAGTTAGATTAGATGTGGTTAAAGTTGAAGAGTTAGATGTGGTTAAAGATAATACGATTGAGATTAGACACGTTTAAAGCTGATATGAGTTAGACTAGATGTGGTTAAAGTTGAGGACAGTTCATTAGATGTGATTAAAGTTGGGTCAAGTTATATTAAACACAGTTAAGTTGATATCAGTAAGATGAGTTTAAAGTTGATATGAGTTAAATTAGACACAGTTAAAGCCGATATGAGTTAGATTAGACATGGTTAATGTTTATCTGAGTTAGACACGGTTAAGGTTAATGTGAGTTACATTAGACATGGTCAAAGTTGATGTGAGTTAGATTAGACATGACTGAAGTTGCTGTGAAATAGATTAGACATGGTGAAAGTTTATTTGAGTAAGACTAGGCATGGTTAAAGTGAGTTAGATTAGATGTGGTTAAAGTTGAAGAGAATTAGATGTGGTTAAAGATTATATGAATCAGATTAGATTTTGTTTAAAGTTGATATGAGTTACATTAGATGTGGTTAAAGTTAATGCAAGTTAATTAAGACACGGTAAAGTTGATGTGAGTTAGATTAGACATGGTTAAAGTTGAAATGAGTTAGATTAGACATGGTTAAAGTTGATGTGAGTTAGATTAGACATGGTTAAAGTTGGAGGTGAGTTCAATTAGATGTGGTTAAAGTTAATTTAAGCTATATAGGACATGGTTAAAGTTGATGTCTGTTAGATAAGACACGGTTAAATTTGATGTGAGTTAGATTAGACACGGTTAAAGTTCATTTGACTTAGATTAGACATGGTTAAAGTTGATGTGAGTTAGATTAGACATGGTTAATGTTGATGTGAGTTAGATAAGACACGGTTAAAGTAAATGTGAGTTAGATTAGACATGGTTAAAATTGAGGTGAGTTAGATTAGACATGGTTAAAATTGAGGCGAGTTAGATTAGACATGGTTAATGCTGATTTGAGTTAGATTAGACATGATTAATGTTGATGTGAGTTAGATTAGACATGGTTAATGTTGATGTGAGTTAGATTAGACACGGTTAAAGTTGATGTGAGTTAGATTAGACATGGTTAAAGTTGATGTGAGTTAGATTAGACATGGTTAAAGTTGATGTGAGTTAGATTAGACATGGTTAAAGTTGATGTGAGTTAGATTAGACATGGTTAAAGTTGATGTGAGTCAGATTAGACATGGTTAAAGTTGGTGTGAGTTAGATTAGACATGGTTGATGCTGATGTGAGTTAGATTAGACATGGTTAAAGTTGATGTGAGTTAGATTAGACATGGTTAAAGTTGATGTGAGTTAGATTAGACATGGTTAATGCTGATGTGAGTTAGATTAGACATGGTTAAAGTTGATGTGAGTTAGATTAGACATGGTTAAAGTTGATGTGAGTTAGATTAGACATGGTTAATGCTGATGTGAGTTAGATTAGAAATGGTTAAAGTTGAGGTGAGTTAGATTAGACATGGTTAATGCTGATGTGAGTTAGATTAGACATGGTTGATGCTGATGTGAGTTAGACTAGACATGGTTAAAGTTGATGTGAGTTAGATTAGACATGGTTAAAGTTGATGTGAGTTAGATTAGACATGGTTAATGCTGATGTGAGTTAGATTAGAAATGGTTAAAGTTGAGGTGAGTTAGATTAGACATGGTTAATGCTGATGTGAGTTAGATTAGAAATGGTTAAAGTTGAGGTGAGTTATGTTGATGTTAGGCAGGGTTAAAGTTGAGGAGCGTTACCGTGGATATCAGTACCTTGGAGTTGGAGGTGGACTCCAGGAAGCAGAGTCTGTTCCCAAATCCCTCAGCAGCCAAACACAGTTTCTGCTGCTCCTTATGAAGCGTGGCTGAACACTGTAATACCACCTCATCGTCCTACACACAGAAAAAACAATATTGTTAGCTGAAAAAATACTACACATTTACAGATTTAGCAGATTCTCTTACCCAGACTCACAGGGTCAGATGAACCTCTACTTTTAGGACTGTTGTCCAAGAAACCTACACAAAAATAATGAAACCTAACTAAATGAATTAACACTATTTCAAGTGCTAAATGGTACAAGTGAATTAAACAATGCCAACAGCCTCTTTAAAGCGTCTCTCGGGAGGTGAGAGGACTTTCAAATGGCGCCACATGAAGCACTTTGCGCTTTCCTGTTTTCCACTCTCATCCAGCGTCACTTTCCTTTTTCATTATGCATCAGGCAGCGAGTCTCAGGACAGATGAGCATCAGTGAAGGGAGAGCCTGTTCTTCCAAACACTCCCTCTCCACCTTCTCATTTAACTTTAACTTGTTCCACTTTTTCTTTTCTGAAACTGATGGAGTTTTGGCCAATTTCCAATAGCTGGACAGCATGTTTTTCTTTAAAAACCGAGCTTTAAAATGATTTTATTGAAGCACTTCACTGAATATGAATGTGTAAAACCCAGGCTATCATGCTGAAACTATTTTAAAGCTAAACTGAATTTCAGAAATTTGTGCTTCTCTACAGATGATAAAATTGTACACAATAGATATGAATAGATAAGAAATGCACAGTAAACTCCAGACTGTGGAGACTCTTGGATGCTATTGCTGAATTTCAAAGTTTCACCAATTTCCGAGAAGCCAAAACATGACAAACAAACAAAAACAATCAGTAAGAGACAGTAAGGGAGGAGACTGAAAAACAGTTCGATGGAAACCACTTGCTGGATTTAAATGGAAGAGCTATTTGGACCGGCTGTCAGTGAGGCGGGATGGTGAATAGTGACAGGTCTGACAGGTCAAACACATGAAGCGCTCTCTGAACAGCAGCTCACTCTCTGTCTCATCACCCCAGTGACAGACACTTGCACTGAGGTAGAATCTCACTTTACACACTAAACGGGCATCAAAAATGTCTGGCATGCAGCTAAACATACCCAGCGACAGCACACATGTCAATCATTATCAAAACGGTCATAAAAAAGTGAACACACAAATGGAGAGCCAATATACATACACTACTGTTCAAAAGTTTGGAATCACGTCATCTAATCTATATAATATATGAACATTTGTTACTGTCAATGTAATAATAACTTACATCTTGTAAACTAGACTCCAATAGTATTTTAGACATTTCATCCAATATTTCAAGGAGTTATTACATACTGTAATGTACTAATTACAAATATCTATTGTAAGGTTTTTCTCAATATTTCAAATATCAGGCATTCTGGATGTTACTTTTTATTATAGCTTCATTCTCAATGTTTTACAGCTAAATTCATTATAAATTTAATTACAGCTCTGTTCATCTTTCTAACACTTAACCTGAACCCTGTAACATTGACATAAACATGCTATAAATATGTTACAGCAGATGTCATGCGCTGTAATAAGTTGCAATACAACCATTACAGGTAATTAAACCACAGTAAGTTCCAACCTCACAACGTGATTGGCCGAGAGGTATTCTCTTTACCTCTTTTGAATCTCTTTTGGCATCACTCATCAATCATTCATCTTTAATGTAGCAGCAACAATCAGCCGTTAAAAAGCCACAGTAGTTTAGCTGAAAAGAAAAGAACTATAACAAATAACACCACGTCCGAATAGCAAGCGACGCAAATGAGAGACAATGGCAAAAACAAAAATGAGCACAATGCAATCAATGAAGCTGTACATTACACTCAATGTGAGTGGGGGCCAGCTGAGGGCGACTCTTTTTCACCCTAAATACAGCAGTTAAGCCAGCCACCTTTCGTCACAAACACAGAGAAACTAGTCAAAAATGTAAGAGGAGGAAATGACTGAGAGCTGTATGATGCTTCCTCTAATTTGTGTAAGGATATTAAACAAAATGCAGAAATTGCTTGACTACTGGAAGAAACTGCTGCTCTTTCCAAAACCAAACAACCCCCCTCCAAAAACAAACAAAAAAACTCTTCAAATCCACACGATTCATCTGAACGGCCTATTTTACATTCGAAAAGGCAAATTTCATCAAAAGTCGACGGGTTTTCATGTATGGGTCATTCTACAGAAACGTCCACTTTTTTACCTATCCACAGGGGTCACTGGTGTTACTGATTGTCACGTATAAGAAAGGTAACAACAGTGACACTTTAAAGAAAAATGCATTTTACAAAATGTCGGCTACAGAGCATCAAACCACATGCCAATCATGGAATGTCCACTGAAATATGTAATTTTATCCATTCGTATTATATTTCTTTACAATTACCTCAGAATAAAGTCGGTCACACCAGTGACTTCAGCTAAAAGCTTCATATGAAATCATGAGCTAAATGAGAAAATCTCTGATAACTGAAAGACACAGTGGACTCACCATGTGCTTTTCTTCATAGATCCTCAGACAACAGGTAAAAGGAAGTCAAGTGATGTCATCAGTGTGACTTTTATTTCAAAATAAGAGATTTTTTGCTACGCAGTAACAGCAGTGACACGACTCCTGGGGACAACAACTTTCAAAATATATATTTTATAATATTTATTTGCCATTTGTTTTCTTTGTCATTTCAATCATATATTTCATAGTCGTGTAGAGATTATTGCAGTTAAAATTGCAGAAAAACTTGTTTATTACTTCAAAATATGGCCTCAGCCTTTACACATGACTGTGAGGACGAGCTCTTCTGTGGTGCCTGGAATTCTAGATAATTGATTTAAAAACGAATACTGCTAAATTGGGGCTCAAGAAGGTGTAACTGTTAAAATACCTTGTTTTATTTTAAAATGTAAATAAATTGTAACCCTAACATGTTTGTCAAATTTTCAAGTTGACACAAAAAATGACGTTTCTGTAAATGACCCATATGCATTCAGCTAAAAAGAGTAATATCAGCTTGTTTTGGGCTGTTTATATGCAACATCGTCTGAGCTTAGTTGTGGTACACCTGTATGCTATGTCAAAACACTACTGGGAGAATTTCAACTGGTATACAGGATGAATCAGTATATCACCCACCACCACCATGAGAACATGTCTGGGTAATCAGCCAGTGATGATGATAAGAAATGATTTCTTCTGAACTGCATAGTCACAGACTTGCAACATCTAAATCCTCTCAGATTTCTTTAGGCCCATTGAATGGAAATGCCAGCAAGCAGCAGGTCACCTCTGGGGTTATTATTAGCTATTACAGCTACTTTCAACTTTTAAATACACATTTTGGAAAAAAAAATTTTTATCATTCTTATTTTGAAACCTGTTTAAAAGAGCTACTAATAAGTCAAGACACAAAGTTCTAATTTCGGTTCATTAGAAATCCAACTGTGCAGCACAAAACTGTCAAATGTCCATAAAAAAGGCCAAATAAAGCCTCCAGTCTTTGTAGTTCACCACTGAAAGGACAGCACAGCTCACACAGAGAGATGTCCTTTGACAGAAGCCTAAAGGGAAACTGAACTAACGGCAGTGAAAACACCTCTTGGGATTCGAGCCTAAGCGTTCAATACAGTCTCATTAGCCATTAAATCACCCTTGGACAGGCTCGAGTATGACCTTTGACCTATGAACAAGAACTCAGGCCCTGTGGAAGCACTTTACAGAAAAAGGATTTTAGAAATGTTAGTGCATGTTGACTTAAAGCAACTGAATAAAAAAAAATTTTGAATTTCATAGGAAAAAACATAAAAGTCAGCAACACAACCATCACAAACCCTGACTGACTGAAAGCTATGCAGTCTTGCAGGGCCAGATGTGAGTTTGCAATGACAATACATGTCGGGGGACAACTTATTAAACCTCTGGTGCTGGACCGTGGTGAAATATGTCACCAAAAAAGGGTCAACACATCCCCAAGTTCCTCTAGTCCATTTAGCTCGAACACGTGGTTCTGTTAGCTCGTCTTTTCTCACATTAACTCCAGCTGTTAGCTCTACAAGAGAAACAATACCTTGCAACTGTACTACTCTAAAGCCCAGGCTTAAATACTAAACTATAGCTAGTCATACGACAAGCAACAGAGGTGTAACGAGTTAGTATCTGGGAGAACTAGAGTGATGATTTGTTGAACGAGGAGGTTCAACAGTCACATGATCTGCCAAAGGGGTTCTGGGAAATGGAGTCTCTGTGTGATTTGAGGCCAGAGAAATGCATGACACAGTCATTTCAGTCATGCTAACTTATTTTACATTCATGTACTAATGACAGGCTGGCTGTCTGTCGGATAATGTTGACGGGCGCTCCATCACCTCCTACTCTGAGCTCCACCTTTATGAGACACTGGATTGGTTTAGAAATTTCTCACTCAGTTGGTTACTCTAATAAATCTACGCTCCCACCGACATTTAGCCCAAAATTTGACAATGAGTTCTACTAAAATATTAGAAATTACTGATACGCGCTGCAAGAAGCTAGCGGGTGTTAATGTCTGTCCACATGCAACACTGTAGTATTCCAAACTACCAGAGGATGCTCAAACTAGCCGTTAGCAGCTAAAAGATCAGGTGCTGGAACATAAACAGACACTCTGATGTAAGTGAGTGCTTCAAGGTCATGTAGAGCCTTAAAAACTAGTAGCAGAACTTTAGAATCTATTTTGAACGATACAGGTAGCCAGTGCAGTTCTTTCTAAGTGGGAGTGATGTGATCTCTCAGTGCTGCCGCATTTTGTACAAGTTGTAAAGGATGCATTGTTTTCTTAGGATGTCCAGTAAGAAGATCATTACAGTGATCAACTCTGCTTGTAACAAATGCATGAACAAGTTTATCTGCACTGCTCTGAGATAGAAAAGGCTGAACTTTAGTGACATTTCTCCAAATGATAAAAAGCTACTTTAGTGACTGTGTTTGTGAGTCTAAGATCACACCCAGGTTTCCTACTTCAGGTTTGGTAGATGAAGCTAAAGAACCAAGTTTCTTATAAATCATTTTTCTCT